AGCAAACAGAATCCAACAGCACATTAAAAGGATCATACACCATGATCAAATGGGGTTTATTCCAGGAATGCAAGGATTCTTCAATATATGCAAATCAATCAATGTGATACACCATATTAACAAACTGAAGGACAAAAAACATATGATCATCTCAACAGATGCAGAAAAAGCTTTCGACAAAATTCAACACCGATTTATAATAAAAACCCTCCAGGAAGCAGGCACAGAGGGAACTTACCTCAACATAATAAAGGCCATATATGACAAACCCACAGTCAACATCATTCCCAATGGTGAAAAACTGAAACCATTTCCACTAAGATCATGAACAAGACAAGGTTGCCCACTCTCACCGCTATTATTCAACATAGTGTTGGAAGTTTTAGCCACAACAATCAGAGAAGAAAAAGAAATAAAAGGAATCCAAATTGGAAAAGAAGAAGTAAAACTGTCACTGTTTGCAGATGACATGATACTATACATAGAGAATCCTAAAGATGCTACCAGAAAACTAGTAGAGCTAATCAATGAATTTGGTAAAGTAGCAGGATACAAAATTGATGCACAGAAATCTCTTGCATTCCTATACACTAATGATGAAAAATCTGAAAGAGAAATTAAGGAAACACTCCCATTTGTCATTCCAACAAAAAGAATAAAACACCTAGGAATAAACCTACCTAAGGAGATAAAAGACCTGTATGCAGAAAACTATGACACTGATGAAAGAAATTAAAGATGATACAAATGGATGGAGAGATATACCACGTTCTTGGATTAGAAGGATCAACACTGTGAAAATGACTACACTACCCAAAGCAATCTACAGATTCAGAGCAATCCCTATCAAACTACCAATGGCAATTTTCACAAACCCAGAACAATAAATTTCAATTTGTATGGAAAGACAAAAGACCCCGAATAGCCAAAACAATCTTGAGAAAGAAAAACAGAGCTGGAGGAATCAGGCTCCCTGACTTCAGACTATACTACAAAGCTACAGTAATCAAGAAAGTATGGTACTGGCACAAAAACAGAAATATAGGTCAATGGAACAGGATAGAAAGCCCAGAGATAAACCCACACACATATGGTCACCTTATCTTTGATAAGGGAGGCAGGAATATACAAGGGAGAAAATACACCCTCTTCAATAAGTGGTGCTGGGAAAACTGGACAGCTTCATGTAAAAGAATGAAATTAGAATACTCCCTAACACCATACACAAGAATAAACTCAAAATGGATTAAAGGGCTTCCCTGGTGGTGCAGTGGTTGAGAGTCCACCTGCTGATGCAGGGGACATGGGTTTGTGTCCCGGTCCGGGAAGATCCCACATGCCGCGGAGTGGCTGGCCCCGTGAGCCATGGCCACTGAGCCTGCACATCTGGAGCCTGTGCTCCGCAACGGGAGAGGCCACAACAGTGAGAGGCTCACGTACCGCAAAAAAAAAAAAAAAAAAAAAATGGATTAAAGGCCTAAATGTAAGGCCAGACACTATTAAACTCTTAGAGGAAAACATAGGCAGAACACTCTATGACATAAATCACAGCAAGGTCCTTTTTAACCCACCTCCTAGAGAAATGGAAATGAAAACAAAACTAAACAAATGGGACCTAATGAAACTTAAAACTTTTGCATAGCAAAGGAAACTGCAAACAAGACGAAAAGACAACCCTCAGAATGGGAGAAAATATTTGCAAATGAAGCAACTGACAAAGGATTAATCTCCAAAATATTCAAGCAGCTCATGCAGCTCAATAACAAAAAAACAAACAACCCAATCCAAAAATGGGCAGAAGACCTAAATAGACATTTCTCCAAAGAAGATATGCAGATTACCAACAAACACATGAAAGGATGCTCAACGTCACTAATCATTAGAGAAATGCAAATCAAAACTACAATGAGGTATCACCTCACACCAGTCAGAATGGCCATCATCTTAAAATCTACAAACAATAAATGCTGGAGAGGGTGTGGAGAAAAGGGAACACTCTTGCACTGTTGGTGCGAATGTAAATTGATACAGCCACTATGAAGAACAGTATGGAGGTTTCTCAAAAAACTAAAAATAGAACTACCATACGACCCAGCAATCCCACTACTGGGCATATACCCTGAGAAAACCATAATTCAAAAAGAGTCATGTATCACAATGTTCATTGCGGCTCTATTTACAATAGACAGGACATGGAAGTAACCTAAGTGTCCATCGACAGATGAATAGATAAAGAAGATATGGCACACATATACAATGAAATATTACTCAGCCATAAAAAGAAACGAAATTGAATTTTTTGTAGTGTGGTGGATGGACCTCGAGTCCATCATACAGAGTGAGGTAAGTCAGAAAAAGAAAAACAAATACCGTATGCTAACACATATATATGGAATCTAAAAAAAAAAAAAAAATGGTTCTGAAGAACCTAGGGACAGGACAGGAATAAAGACGCCATCGTGGAGAATAGACTTGAGGACACGTGGAGCGGGAAGGGTAAGCTGGGACGAAGTAAGAGAGTGGTATGGACATATATACACTACCAAATGTAAAATAGATAGCTACTGGGAAGCAGCTGCATAGCACAGGGAAATCAGCTCAGTGCTTTGTGTCCACCTAGAGGGATGGGATAGGGAGGGTGGGAGGGAGACGCAAGAGGGAGAAGATATGGGGATATATGTATATGTATAGCTGATTCACTTTGTTATACAGCAGAAACTAACACACAGTTGTAAAGTAATTATACTCCAATAAAGATGTTAAATTTTTTTTTAATTAAAATAAATAAGTAAGTAAGCAGAACTCTAGGGAGCCACCAGATTCTGTTGGGAAGGCTACAGTGTGAATGACAGCCTTCTGAGAATGATGATTCCTCCCTCTGTGAAAACTGATGGAAACATCCTGGGTGAGGGGCAGGGAGGAAGCATGAACTACTGGCAAGTAAGGATAACAACCATGATTACATTTTGGATATTTTAACAGAAAATATAATAATGCTTTTAATAAAGACTGAAATTCATTTCATCCCAAGCACTAACTAATTAACTACCTTGGAACATAATCCCCCCTTTCTTAAAATCAGAAAATAGTCAATACATTTACTAGAATAAGAATTACTTATTCAGGAAATACCTTAGTTTGGAACGCTTACTCCCAAAACTAAGTGAAACTTGGCTCTCTCTCCTCTGAGGATATTGCTTCTTTGCAGTCCTCTCACAATAGCAAGGAGTTCTTGATGACCTCCTCCCACTCTGTTGTTTCCAGGATTTCTTCTTGTCCTCTTCCTCGGAGGCTCATACCACATTTTCTCGTCTTCATCACTTTCATTTCTGACTCTCAGACATCTGCTCCTCACTGAAGACATTTGCATCTCATTCCACCCTCTCCATCCCAGTCCTGCAATGCCTGGATAACATCCAAGTAAACAACCCCGCCCAAGACCCCAGCTTCCTAAGCCCTTCACCTCTGGAAAACTTGACCTCCTTTCTGCTTCAGCTATCTACTTCCGTGGACTTGACAAATCCAGTAATGACCACAGACCTTCTTATCACCTGGAACTTTTCTACCTGTGAAATTTTTGTTTCAAATATCAAATTCTTTACTAAAACTTCCCATCCTGCCATTTCTCTTACTCCGTTTATCCTATCACCTGTTCCTCGGAGTCAGTTCTTTGCCCTTTCTACCCTATAGGTTCCCTCCTACCTTTCTTTCTTTTTCTACCTAGCATAGATTCCAGGGTTCATTACTTCACCTACCCTTCTGACAATATCGGTGAATTCTTGATGTCATTCTCTTGTAACCTCCATCCAAAACAAAACCCCAAACCTAGATCAAACACAGGCAACTTAGACTAGCTGAGCGGGAAAAAGGAACAACTTTGCAGATTGGTACTGCTACAATTCTATGGTCTCCTGCTCTAAGCAGATCTCAATGTTACCAGCAAACTTTTTTTTTCCCAGTCCTCTCCTTCTCCCATCCTTGACAAAGCTATTTCAAACTTTCTGCCATCTCCTTAAACTTCCAACACCTCCAACACTCCCCCAAAAGAACTCCCTCAACCTTCTATACCAAAATTATACATTTATCTGCATCAACTTGCATCCTTTTCTTCCCTGCCTTCTGTTAAAAAGTAGTCAAAGTGGCCCTCTTCCTATGCCATAGACACCAGCCCTTCTTGCCTTCTTGGGAATCCTGCTCCATCAAGTTCCTCCCTTTTCAGATATCTTTGACCTGTCTCTCTCCACTGATTTTACTCAATTCCCCCTTCCCACCTCATTTAACCATGCTCAAACATCTCATATTTTTAAAATCCTCCATTATTTACTTCAAAATAAGACTGCCTGAGTTGATAATAATTGAAGCTACATTTTGGGTACATGGGAATTCATTATATTATTCCAACTACTTTTTTATATGTTTACACTTTCCAGTACAGAAAGTTTTCTTTTTAATCCTCCTTTGATTTGGATTTTTCTCAGTTCCCCATCCCATTTTCTCTTGATAAAACGTATTCATTCTTCAGGTCACCACACTTTTAAAAGCAAGGAATTATTCAGTTTTCCTGTATTCTTCTAATCCAATGAGTAAATGTAAAACCATCAAAATTACTCACTGCGGTCTAAAAACTTAACCTGCAGCACAGAAAAATCTGTCCATCTCTCATGAAAATAATGTAAATAACTGGGTCTCAACAAATTTCTAAATTTTAAAAATGAATGGACAAAATTAACATTAATAACATGGATTGGGAAAGATGAAAATATAGTGTTCCTTATGCAAAACTTATCTTGCTATAGTAGATGTATGTGAAACATTCTGTTTTTTCAGTTCTCCCGATGTATTGACAAAAATTTGGATCTTACCAAAGGAAGAAAAAATTAAGAGAAGGAATTTTTGAAATACCTATGATATTGACTCTTCCTGGTGCTCGAACATAAAACTTGGGAACGGATCCAAATTTAGAATTAAACATCTCTTTTAGCTTCAGCAATCTGAAAACAAGAGTAGAATATTTCAGAATATCCAGATAATAGAAAAACCCATAAGATACCCCCCCACACACACACACATTTCATATACCTACCACCATTAATTATCTTTAAAAATAATAAAAGCAAACTCTTTTACTGACATACTTCCTTGAAAATCCCAGGATGAAACAATACTGTAACCCGCTAAGTGACACAAGAGTATAGCTAAGCACACAGAAGAGTAAAAAATTTAATACTGATGAACACAACAGAAAAAAAATTCTTTGCTTCAACAGAATTAACTTTCTGGATAATTTCTCAATGATATTCAGAGAAGAATCTCTTTCTACTAAAAAATAATAGCATGGAGTAATGTATCAGTTTCCTAGAGCTGCCATAATAAAGTATCACAAACTGGGTAACTTAAAACAACAGAAATTTATTGTCTCTGAGTTGTAGAGGCAAAATCAGAGTGTTGGCAGGACCATGCACCTCTGAAACCTGAAGGGGAAAATCCTTCCTTGCCTCTTTTTAGTTTCTGATGGTGACCATCAATCCTTGGCATTCCTTGGCTTGCTGCTGTATCACTGCAATCTCTGCCTATGTCATCACGTGGAATTCTCTGTGTGTCTCTATCTGTGACTCTGTTTTTCCTTCTCGTAAGGACATCAGGCTTATTGGATTAGGGCCCACCTTAATTCAGTATGACTTCATCTTAACTTGATTACATATGTAAAGATGCTAGTTCAAATAATATTACATTCTGAGGTTCCAGGTGGACATGAATTAGGAGGGATGCTATTCAACCCAGTACAGTCAAATGAAAACTAGACTGGATATCAGGAGACTACAGTTCTAATTCCAATGGGGGTTCTAATTCGATGCCAAAGTTTGGCAAATCATTTTCCCTTGGACCCTCTTCTGTAAAATTAGAGCATTTGAACAAGATATTCCTCATAGGTCCCTTCCAGGTCAAAAATGCTTATAATATATTTAATAATTTTACACTGTTAAATCATCTCAAGTCACTTCTATGAATACCCCCCACTGTTTGTAGTCCCACAATATATGTATCTGAGTAATAACACCAAGACAGTATTTATTAGACCTACTATATTCAAGACATTCATTAATTAAATGATTAATCTTAAAGATTAGTTACAAGAAACATAAAATCATACCAAAAAAATCTAAGAAAAAAGGAAATTTATTATAATGATAGAAAGATACATTGAATATTCTTGGAAGTTATTCAGGATGACCTCCTAGGATTATGACAGCCATCAGAAACTTTAATTACTGATGGGTGGGGCTGTGTTCCCGCCCTGTTTGTCATGCCTGAGGTGTCCCTGCACTGGAGTCTACAGACTTTTGGGTGGGGCTAATGGTGGCTTCCAGGAGGGCTCACGCCAGTGAGTACTCCCCAGAATTGCTGTTGCCAGTGTCCTTGTCCCCACCGTGAGCTGCAGCCACACCCCTGACTCTGCAGAAGACCCTCCAACACTAGTAGGTAGGTCTGGCCCAGTCTCTTATGCTTTGTTCCCCTGGGTCCTGGTGCGCAAAAGACCTTGTGTGTGCTCTCCAAGAGTGAAGTTTCTGTTTCCCTCAGTCCTGTGGAATTCCTGTGATCAAACCCTTCTGGCCTTCAAAGCCAGATTCTCTGGGGGCTTCTTCTCCCATTGCCGGAACCCCACACTGAGAAGCCTGATGTGGGGCTCAGAACTTTCACTCCTGTGGGAGAACTTCTGTGGTATAATTATTTCCCAGTTTGTGGGTCACCCACCCAGCAGGTATGGGATTAGATTTTATTGCAATTGTGCCCCTTCTATCATCTCGTTATGGCTTCTTCTTTGTCTTTGGATGTAGGGTATCTTTTTTGGTAGGTTCCACTATTTTTTTGTCAATGGTTGTTCAGCAGTTAGTTGTGATTTTGGTGTTCTTGTAAGAAGGGGTGAGCTAACATCCTTCTACTCCGTTACCTTGAGCTCTCCAGGAAGCCAGAGCTGATGTTATAGTGGAATTTTCTTCATCAGCATTCTACATCCAGCCAGATGCTAACGTCTTGTATTTGTCATACAAACATGAAGAGTCTTAGTTGGCAGGGTAGCTCCACTCCAGATGGTCATTCAAGGATCCAGATATCTTCCTTCTCATTGCTTCACTGTTTCAGACTGTTGGCCATTTCTGCATGCTCAAAATTGGATTGTAGGCATGTAAATGCTCTAGGTCAGATGAACCATTCTTTTTTTTTTTTTCCTCAGTGGCTGCCTCTCCCCCTCGACACACCAGTGCAGCAGTCGTGCTCTGCCCCCAAAAACTCTATTTAAATTGTGTGTTTGGCTCTCTCCTTCCTGTCTCATTCTTTCATCCCTCCAAAAACACCATCACCATTTCCCTCTGCTCAATGCTCTTCACATTCCAGTTGCCTCTGTGAGCCTCTGAGTTTTTGCTCTTCCATCTCTTCAGTTTTCATGACACTGTGGCCTCAAGTCTAGAAGATTCAACAGCTTCAATGTCCTATACTTTCTGATTAAGTCTCTGTGTCCCTAATTCAAATTCTCAAACAGATAATCTGGTTGGCAGCATATAGGTCCTGTATCCATCCTGGTCCAATTACTTTTGGCCAAAAAGGAAAAGCTATTTGATATAAACAAGGTCACTTGCTTTAGTTACAGATATGATCACCTGGGTCCACTCCTTTAGCAGAGGTTGTGGATGACAACAGAAGATGTAGAGAAGGAGATAATAATGGATATCTCTAGCACATCATTCAAGATAGATTTACTGGACTCCCAAGTAGATGTGCATAATGATAGCTGCCTAAATCTGATTTTCCCCATATATCCTGCAAAACAATTTAGAACAAGAACAAACAAGTGATATTTTTATTTCTTTATTATAACTAGACAACTGTACCTTTATTATAAGTAGAAGAGAATGCATAAACTTTAAATGGAAGAAAGAGGCAAAACACTGAGAGCCACTGGAAAAAGAAACTGAGTGAAAAGAGCAAACTAAGATTAATCTAAAACCACCACTAGAAAGAAAAAGTACATCCATTTAAAAATGAGAGGTGTAAAAGAAGAAAAGATGAAAATAAACTCATTGATTGCTACATAGGCAATCAAAAACGTAAAGGATACCATTAAGCATGACAAAGCAACAATTTTTTTAAGTTATTACACACAGGCATATGAAAAAGTATTATTAAACTCCTATAAAAAAAGTACCCCAGGGAGACTGTGACCTGTGTAGTCAGATAGACCTGGGCTCAAACCCCTTCTCGACCATGTGATGAAATTCCTTAACCTCATTCACCTTTATATGGGGTGGAAATATGAATTGAGTTATTTGGAAGATTAAATAAGGTATTGTAGGAACAGTGTCTAGCCTAGGGCTGGCATGAAGTACTTGTTCAGTAAATGACAGTTATTATAAGCTCCTGATTCCTTGGTTCAGTACTGTTTCTACTCTGCAGCATATGAATAAGAATCCACTAGAAGCAATGAAAGATGGTAGGTAATTAAATGTTTAGTTTACATCAGGACTGGAAGCGCTATTAGAGCACTAGGGTGATTTTTATGATGCTATTGATAAATCTTCATGCTCTCTGCCTTGTATCTTCCATTTTATTGAGAGGGTTGAAACAACTTAGGTTATTTGTCCATCAGATTCTAGACAGAATTATTTAAAAGGTTCATGTTTTTCAATGAAAAAAATAAACTGCCAAAGCAGATAGTAAAAGGTTAAGTAAGAAAAGTCCCCTGCTTTTTCAGGGCATTAGAAAGATATATAAATACAAAAGTAACCAACAGAACAAAAATATCAATCTTCCTAACTACCAAAGAAATTTCAAAAACAGATAAACCAGTAAATAAACACAGAAACTATATTATAACACATAATTAAAAAATAAAATGACTAAGTTGAAATCAAATATATCAGTCACATCAATAAAAGAAAGTGTAAGGAAAGACTCAAAAAGACAAAAGTAGAAAGTAATGATATGGGGAGTAGAAAAACAGTAGACCTGGTTAACAAATTAAACTCTGGGTTTTTAGGGGAAAATTTAACAAAATAGACAAGCCACTAGCTAATGAATTAAGAAAATGGGGGTTGATAAAGCATAAATAAACAAAATAAGAAATAACAAGGATGAGATAACATTAAACAAAAGAAATTTTAAAAGTCATAAGAGACTACTTTGTAGACCTCTATCCAAATAAATTTAAACTGTAATAAAGAAACTGACTCCATTTTTTGATGTTTACTTACAGCTTTTGAGCTTCAACTCTCCCTCTTTCCCCTTCTGCCTCATATCAAGCAAGTGGATAAAAAAGCCCAGGTGCTCTCTCTTTTGTCACCAACCAAACCATAGCACACCAGTTCCATCTCCTAACCACTACAAAAACCTCAAGCTAGTCTCCTTTCCTTGCTCTCTCAAGCCATTTTTGGCCAGCTTGGGTGGCCTGCTCTGCCCTCCTCAGAAAGCCTCATTATGTGAGTAATAAACTTTTCATACCCTCTTGTTCATGTGGTATTATCAGTCTCAACATCCGAACCAAATTTTTGGGTGGGAATCCATCCTGTTTCTGTGGTATGGCCACAACAGAAATCCTAAAGAAATGGATAATTTCCTAAGGAAATACAATTTATAAAAACAGATCCATTTCCATAGAAGAAATAAAGTCATCAAAGAACCACCTCACACATATGGATTAAGCCCAGATGTTTTACAAGAGAGTTCTACCCAAGCATGAACATCAGATAGCCCATATACTCCATGAGTTGTTCCAGAGCATTGAAAAATAAAGAAAAGTGGTCTAATTCTTGCTATGAAGCAAGTGTAACATTGATACCTAAACCAGATAAAGATAGTCCAAGAAAATACAACTACAGACTGTCACTCTTGAATATTAATGCAAAAGTACTTAATAAAATATTAGTAAACATAAGGCAGCACCATATTAAGAAAATAATTCATATTAAGTGGCATTAACTCCAGGAATGAAAAGTTGAAA